CACTGGAGTTTTTGAGGCCACTCATGGGAGCTGCCCATGGGTGAGACCTCGTGGGAAATGGAGGGAGCTCAGCTCCCACTCACACAAGAAAATGCTCATTTCTCAATTAGAGAATTGAGCTCATTGAGAACGGCTCACTTCTCAGTTATTTTAGGGCTTCATAGAAGTAATATTCCAGCTTCCAAAAGGGAATACAAATGTTTTCTCCCACCACAGACATGGCTGTGCTCCCCAGGCTTTACACAACCCTGAAAAAGGGCTGGTTTTACACTTAAAGGCCAGGAATTTCCAAATCCTTCAACATAAAGAGCAGACATGAATGATCTGTGTGTAGGTGCTGCTCTCCTGGGGAGGATGGTGGCTGCAGTAGCTTGGTGAGGTGTGAGTGGGATTCTGCATGAGGCAGCACAAAGCAATAGCAAAGTCTGTGAGAAGATAATGAAATGTAACAGTTGTGGGTAGGACAAGCAGAGAATTTCAGTGTGAACGTCAGGGTGTGATGGAAGAGCCTGGCTGTGCTGAGAGGGCTCTGAAGTGGCATTGCCTGGGCACAGAACTCCGTCAGCATTTGCACTTCCAGGGAATAATGCAATCCTGCAATCCTCCCGAGTGTTTGCTTAAACCTTATACAAGCATCTTCAAAAGCTGGGTAAAGTGGCCCAGTTGTTATTATATTATATAAAGGTAGAAATATAAAACCAGTGCCAGCCCAAAGCTCTCCTGCTCTCCAGGTGCATCTGTGAATCACCCCAAATGGTTTGGGTGTTTTCCTTTTTATCACATTGCACCCTCAAGAGCTCCTTCTCTCTCCAGTACAGGCTGTTACAAATTAACCTGTGCTTAGTGTTTGCACTCTAATTTTCTACAGATTCAAGGTTTACAGACACTCAACTTTCTCATCCAATTTTCAGAGTGATGAAGAAGCAAAGGGCTGTTTGGCTTCCTGTACAAACCAGCTGCATCTTCAGGGTGAACAATTACTTGATTCCCCCAAAGAGAAAAAAGTTAAAGAACACAGGAGTGTTCAGAGGGAGAGTCTCTCCTTTGTATTCCTCTCCTGTCAGGGTAAATATCACTTGTGTACACAAAACACGGGTTCTTGAGAAGTGTCACTTGTCTCAGCAGAATTTTCCCAAAGCCTCAGTGACTGTTCTTACAGAACCATGCAGGGCTTAGATCAGATATTAGGATCAGATATTAGATATTAGATCGGATCTGATATTAGGAAAAACTTTTCATGGAAAGGGTTGTAAAGCATTTGAACAAGCTGCCCAGGGCAGTGAGGTGAGGTCACCATCCCTAGAAGTGCTCACAAACCATGTGATGTGGCACTTTAGGACATGGTTTATCAGTGGTGCTGCTGTGTTGATACTTGGATTTGATCTTGAAAGGTTTTATGATTTTATGACTCCCCGATACTCTGCATGATAGACAAAGATTTAATTGCTTTGATGATTTTTCTTGAAGGGTGTTCTTGATTTAAAAGGGTGTTACCTGTATGGAGTAGGAGGTGTTGTACTGGCTGTAGAGGTTTTTGACAGGGACATCAGAGCCGTTCATGGTGCAGTCACTGTAGGGGTAACCCATCCTCTCCAGCTCATCCTGCAAAGGAGCCCAGACCCCACACTGTGCTTAGCTCTTCTCCACAGCTCCCTGTGCCCAGAGGCTCTGTAATCCCTGTGCTCCCCACTCGAAGTTTAGCTTCGCTGAAAATGAAGGAGTCAGCGGTGGCAGAGCAGAGCAGGCTGCAGCCCCTGCCCTGGGGATCCAGGCAGAGGAGGCTGCTCAGGCTCCTGGACACCCTGACATGCTGTTTGTCCTGGACACCCTGACATGCTGTTTGTCCTGCCAGATCTGACATGCTGTTTGTCCTGGCAAAGCTGGAGGAATAGGCAGCCGTGACCTGAGCCCAATATTCCCACCTCAACAAAGCACTTTGCCAGGACAGTTACATAAAATCCTCCATAAAGTGCTCCAGCCCCTGACAGGTGTGTACCTTGTCTCCTTTGGTTTGAGCCAGTTCAGCCAAGACTTAAAGCAAACTTGGTTTAGGTCCCATCAGATAACATTATTCTCAGACAATCTGCTCCCCAGGAATGCCACACATACCACCAGCACTCCAATGGAGGTTTCTGTCCCAGCCATGGCGTAGATGCCCTGATCCTTGAGGAAGGGGAAGCTCTTCTGCTGATGCAGCATGAGCCTGGCCCCAGCAGCAGAGGACAGGTAGGGAATGTAGTCCTGCTGGCTGATGTCCAGAATCAGCTTCAGCCCTGGGACACCAGACAAAACACAACAGGAATTGTACTGGGGAAAGAAGGGAGTCTATTTTCTTCTCCCTGTTCCTCGGGAAGAGCCAGGGTCTGGCTGCCGTGGTAGCCTGACCTGTGCAGGAAAACTTATAGTGGTGAGTGCCCAGAATGGCAGTAGGTCAGTCAGGTCCTGCCTCAGATATTTCAAATATCCAGAGGTTGCCCTTCTGCCACGTGTCTGTAGTCACTCTTTTTCTGTGTGGCACATTTTCCTTTTGGGGCTCATCCCCTTCTGGAAAGTCTCTGTTCCCTGCTGCAGTGCTCCAGTGACAGAGAATCATAAATCTGTCCTGAGTGACAGAAATGGGCACCAAGAGACAGAACCCTCATGTCTGCCCCTCCTGCCCCCTCCTCCAGCACAGAACACTCCCTTACCAAACTCAGCCCCGGGGTTGGAAGAATTCAGAGCCTCTTCCTCCATGCCCCAGTTAAAGATGTAGCAGTTCCCATGGTCTGGGTGGTAGATTTGGGTGAAATTCCTGGAAGAACCATACACATAGAACTGTGACTCACAGAAGGACTGAAGGGATGTGACAAAAAGCAGATGGTGGCCCCAGCTCAGCAGCTGTGCTGGGGTTCACCTCCCATTGCCTCATCTGCTGAACAGGGACCACAGCTGCTGGCACTTCAATCCATCTGCTTTTGGGAAAACAGCAAGGCAAGGCACAGGTGTGTGCTGGGCCAAGGCCCTGGGGACAGTGCTCAGTGGGATGGAGAGGAACATTTGTCACACAGGTGACAGGAACAGCTGCTCAGCCTGAGCTGTGCTTACAGCTTTGGGCTGCCCTTAGAGCTCGTGCTCTGATGCCAGCTCTTGGTTGCCCCTGTTGCAGAAGGGACAGGGTGGGGTGCTGCTGTGTTCCTCAGCACTGGAGACGGGAACTTGGGATTCCCAGGGAGCAAAGCTGGCTAAAATGCATTTCCCAGAGCCTTGTGCAAAGGGAGGGGGGCTGTAACTGGTGCTGCTGACTCAGCACTTGGTTATCACTGGATACCTGGGTGCTGCTACTCTTGATCTGTCATGAGCAAAGCAGCCCATCCAAAACCCTAACTCAGCCAGCACTGTTCCAAATGAACACATTTCAGCCCGGATCACATCCAGAAAACCTCTGGGAAGTGTTGTTAGAGCTGAGAGCCATCAGCAATCTCATTGCTAGCTGGTAGAGACCTTAAAGAGAGAAAAGAACCCGCGTGCTGTTCAATCCTGCAAGGGACAAAAAGGAGCAGGGAGCTCGTGTGCACCTACTTGTAGTTGCAGGGTTCAGCCCCATAGAGACAGGCCAGGATCATGTCCTCTGCCTGGTAGCCCATCCTGATCCTGTCGTGCAGAGGCACCTTGGAGAGGATGGAGGTGGCCTGCAGCACGTACCACTCGGTCACCGCCTGCGCCGCGCTGCTGAAGTTCCTGTACGTGCAGTTGTCAGAGCCCTGGTGGCTGCACTGGGGACACACAGCAGGCAGGTCTGAGCCTGGGGGGTGGCAGGGGCCATGCTGTGACCCCCTCCCCACGTGCTCGTCCTGCCTCAGCTCCCAGGAACGGAGAGGTTCAGCCTGATGGAGCCACAAGTGGCTGTGCCACTGAGCTGGCTGTCACCCTGAGCTGTCACCCTGAGCTGTCACCCTGAGCTGTCACCCTGAGCTTGGCTGTCACACTGCAGGGTCCTTCCCCAGGGACATTTCTCAGCTGGGCAGGTTATACATCAGCCCCAAGCTGACCTCCACAGATTAACAGAAAATGTCAGTTTTGGGCCAATTCTTTAAGGCTGGAGTTTTCCCAGCTTCCAAGATGTGCCAGGGTCCTTGGAGCCTCCATGGGAGCAGGGCTGAGGGGTTGCAAGACCTGTGCCTCTGCCCTGTGGACTGCAGGAAGGCCATGGGGCACAGCCACAGCCTCTCCCTGGCATTTTGGGTGCCTGACTCAAGGAAGGGGTGAAGGTGTCTGGGAACCTGCAGGGAACAGCCCTGCCCTGGCTCTGTCCAGGGGCTGGGCTGGGCACAGGCAGTCCCCACACCTGGCACAGCCAGAGCAGAGCCCAGGGCACAGTGGCCACGGGCAGCTGGTGGGGAGGAGACACAGATCTCCCCACTGCATCCTTGCCAAGGCACCCCTCCCTCATCTCTGCCCACTGCCCCTGTGGGACCCCTCTCACCAGCTTCACTGCCAGCTTGTACTTCTTCTCCTCCACCGTGCTGTTGGCTGGGGCAGGTGGAGCAGTGGTGTGGTTCCCCACACCAGGTGTGGGTGGAGCA